CACACGCCAACGTTTCCAAGACTTGACTTGGGCGCCTTGTCGACAATTTCGACAAGAGTGAGACTTGGGCGCAAACAAACTGAAGGCAGAAGAGACACGTGAGTATCTGGGGATGGGAAGCGAGGTGTGTGTTTACCCAAATAGAGGCTGAAGCCTTTTTCATTCGGCAAACAATGCACGGCGGCAGCGGCGCAGCAGTTGCTGCCCTGCCGTCATGTTCTCCCCTTAGCCGTGTGTGATTCTCCAAACTGCGAGTGTACTGCCTCCGATCTGGCCAAATATTGACTGCCAACGTTGGCGTTCGCGTTGACGGACTCGCTGACAGTAGAATAAGAAGTGAAAGTTGAATGGAAACATGCTTTAGAAGTGCGTTCTGTGCTTGAGTGCGAGATAGACGGGGCTGGTCTTGGGGAAGGATACGGTAACTAGGACATGCGGGGAAAGGAATGTGGCAAATTGTCTATTTAAGTTTGTGGCTCCTGCAACCTTCTTACGTCGGTTTATTTGTAGCTAGCACACTTAAGACAACTGACCGCAACTCCGCAGAACATTTGGAATACTTCCGCCGGGCCACATGCTGAAGTCCCGTGAACTTCCTGCGAAGTTCTTGTATGTGCTGCGGTGTTCCGAAGAATGCGAACCACAAGTGCAAAATAGAATACCTAAAGGAGACGCGAGCCTTCTCTGAGAATGTTAAATTATTTACTGTCCTCTGCACTGCGGATGTTCAACAGTGTACACTTTGGTGAGACAACATCATAAGATACGACACGTTTAAAACCTGCGGAAGTAGTGTCAGGTCAAGGTGCTGCGAAACCGCTGGCATTTTTCGGACGTTCCGCAGATTTTTGAAGTCTTGCGAAAGCCCCGTTTTCAACCAGAATGTGAAGATCCTGCGAAAGTTCCCATTTTCATGTTTCCACCTTTGTAATAGTAAACAAAATCCCGCTGCAAATTGCGGATCGTCCTGTGAAACTTCCGATGAAATGTCTGAGATAGAGGAGCCTACTGACAGTAGTGGATCACCGTCAAAATTCTGTTTTTGAAGTTGTATGGAATGTTTCTGTGCCTATTCATTTATTTTTGAAAAATTGCGGTGAATTTTTTGGCCTGTTGTGGACTCTAATTCAGTAACAGCGAAGGACATCAATACCTATACGTGAAAGAGTGGGCAAGGCTATGTGTGTTGCTACTTCATACTGTAAATACAGTACCCCACACCGTACACCATAAATTATTGGGACACCTAATGGCGTTATTTGCAGCAATTCGTCTCATTATTGCCCACCATGGTGCCAACGGCGTTGTTCAGCTCATTTGGTGAAGATGATTATAACCAAGACGATAGCGGTGACGATTCCGATAGTGAAGAACCTATCGAAGCAGCTAAGGAAGAAGCCCCGGCACCTGCCGAACCCGAGACCAAGAAAGACGGTAAGCTGGTATAAAAAACTATACTAAAGTGTGCGTTCGTAACCTAGAACCTATAGAAATTCGATAAACAGAGGCGAGACTATTGCACTTGCCTACACCAGCTCATGTGTTTTTTATCTGTACAACAAGCTACACAATCGCTCTTCCGCCTTATCTTCTTCTGCGCTTCCTCTCCGTTAAAAGAGGGCAGTGTTGTGCGTTTTTTCACTCATGGGAAACAGCACTTCATGAGCCGGTTTTCCCTCCACCACCTTCTGTTTGCCTAATTTCGGCCGCCCATATCATTGTCATTATCACTCAAAAATTCAAGAATTTGAAGAGGAAATTCAAGGATTTCAGGTAGCAATAGACTTACAATGATTTTTGGAAATTTCAGAACAAGCCGAGCTAACGGCTACCCTCCAACA